GGGGGGGGGGGGGGGGGGGGGGGGGGGGGGGGGGGGGGGGGGGGGGTTGCTATGGAGACCGTGCGGGCCTAGCCCTTTTTGACAGCACTAAGTAGAATTTGTGCGCGCCCCGTGCGCGCTTCCCCTCTGTTCCAGTGCTGCCGCGCGTCCACGTGACCGTCATCCATTCTGCTTCCAGCATGCCTGGCTGCGCTTCCTAAATAAAAGCTGAGGGCAACTGCTGTTTACTGCACTCGATGGAGTGTGCGCGTGTGTGTGCGCGTGTGTGTTTGTGTTCCAAATTGTCCATAATGGAAATCAGCAGCAGGGTGTCGTCAGACAGAGAAAAAAAAAACAGTGGGACTACGATTGTGTGTGTTCACATTTACTCTGCAGTCTAATGATCCGGTGCGCGTGCGTGTTGACTACCTAAAGCCACATGTCAGCGTGCGCCTCTTGTTTTTTTGAGCCGGGTGTCATGGCATGGAGCGCGCACGCGCATGGAAATGTGGAAATCCCTGTTTCAACAATGAGCTCATCTGTGCCCGGGTGTTCTGCTCAATGGCTCCTTTGTCACCACCGGCGTAAATTTAGTTATTGATAACATTTGTAAATCTAATCAGTTCATCGTGTTTTGTTTCAGGAATGTATGGAGTGTGGCAAAAAAAAAAAAAGCCTATGGAATTTTTTACATAACGGTGCGTATGCGTTTATCCTTACACAGGAGTGGATTTAAACCATGACAAACACTTTTAATAAGAACACAACATGGGAAGTTTTCAAACTCTAACCTAAATTTTCGATGTATTAAATTTAGTTTTGGAGATCATCAGTGGTCATCCAGTGTGTAATCAGACACACCTAAACTTTAAGATAAGCCTGGCTGAAAGTACTAGTAACACCAGTGGAGTGGACACACCTTACCAATTTGGGCTGACCACCCTTTTGGTCAGTTTCTGTTCGCCCAGTTTCGATTCTAATGCGGGAGCAGGTTCAGAGCTGGTTTGACGTTAACATCGTCTCCCCTCTAGGAGTTGAATCAAGTGTTTCCTGGCAGTAGGTTTTGGTTTTAAACGGGTGGATCTCACGTTTTTCTTGTTTGGGAACCAGTGATTTGCCTGTTCAAATGCAAAACTCAATATCCGGCACACCAGAACTGCCAAAGGCAGAAAAGGACAACAGCAGGGCCTAACAATACGTACCATTATGGGTGTGGTCGCTAACACGCTGGGCTCCTGGTTTTTTTAGATGTGCTTTCACAGCTGGAAATTCAGCAGCATAACATCTGACCCAGGAATTACTCCTTGTTTTTATTAGATTTTTACCAATAGGGGCTAGGTGAAGTTCCCTGATGACTTTATATATATACTATCATCAATACATAGGCTATAGTAGTATAAAGAATATTGTGGGTTGGTCTGTTGTGTTTACACCATTATTAGCCAAGAAATGATGTTCTACGCCAAATCACATCCCACAACACTGTGTGTAAGTGTAAAAGAATTCCAACTGATCATAAAAAAATCAGTTTTGAACTAGAGTTGAATCACAGAAGACCAATTTGGAAAATCAGGATTACAAACACACATGTAACTAAGCCACTAAACCTATTCAGACCACAAATAAAGGCACTTTTTTATTTTAAGGTGTCAATCTATTGGGGACATTTTTACTATGTTCCGTCAGACAATATACTTGTTTTTCATCTTTATGTATATGAAAAAGATGCAATTCACACATGCCAGGACCTGAATCGTTACGATACTCTCATAAACCTCTATAGGATTAACACAGCTCTAAAAAACAATTATTATTTTAAAATAGTAATAGTATAGTTGCAGAAGTCATGCAACAAGGATCAGCTATCTCTCTTTAGTTAGATGTACTTCGGGGTTAGGGTTAGGGTTAGGGTTAGGCCTGGAAATCTGCATTGATTTAATCTTCTCAGGGTTTGTTGAGCCACACTGACCCCAGTAGATATTCAATCTTCCTTATCTTCTTTTAAACTCACCCCTTGCACTACATACACATGTAATCAAGATGCACACAACTAGCTAAATCCACATCTAGCTTTAGTGATGTCATACATTACACATCACACGGTATGACAGGGTGAAGGCAAATTCTACAATCTGTCTGCATGCAGACACATGACTGACAGACAGGTGATTTATGCTCAGGCCCCACTTTGAGACAGATGTTTTTTTATCACTGCATTCGATCCTTCAGCTGTAACTTCAAATCATTCAGTCGAGGTCACAATAGGATAGTTTCGGTAAAAGGTAATCATCAAAATGCCTGATTAAAGTTTCAAAATAAGCCATAATGTGGTATTTTTAGAAATACTTGTGCAGAAATGTGTGTTTTTGCCTTTTACAGTTAGGCCACTTCGAGGACCCTGATTCCACCAGGGCCATCAAAATTGTTAGACCCATGCCGACACTTTTATTGACATGACATTCACACTTTGCCAAGTTTCAGATGCAGCTTTGTCTTTTCTCACCACCAGCACGGTCAGAAACGCTCCCGGCGGAATCTCCTGTGTCAACATCTGGGACTAACATCTCTTCTTGAGGCCTCTCACTCGATAAGCTTCAAAGCTGTCAAAAGCGGGGTGAAAGTGCCAGTCTCACACTCACCCAAACAGGTTTCCTTCCTCCAAAAAAAGCCAGTAATTCGACCACCTCTCCCCATCCCTCGGCTGAATATGGACGGGTGACCTCCGGTTCCTCGTTCCTCAACATACTTTTCCCACTTTTGCCCCTGGGATACTGTAGGATGAGGGGAATCACAGTCCCATCCTGTCATTCTTGGAACAGTCCCTATCCTTTTACTGTTGTATTTTCCTTTGCCCCCCCCCACTTCTCTCTGTTCACCTTTGACCCATTTTCTTCCTCGTTTTGCAACTTATCTTATATTTTTCCTGTATTCCTGTTCCTTGTTGCCTGGCTAAATTTCCCAATCTCCATGTGTGATGTGAAGGAATGTTTTCTTTCCCTGCTCCATTTTAAAGACATTTTCCCTCAGATAAGGATTCTTTAACTTTTCTGCCACTGGCTTTCATAAGCTGAGCTTTGCATACAATTCTGCCATGATCACCAGCTTTAAGGGAAGTATTAAAGCTGGCCATCATATTTTCAAGTCAGTGTGAGGAAATGGCCCCATCTTCCCTCTGGAGGTGAAGAAGTGCGAGTGCACGACCTAATTCCAACTGTTCCATGCGAGTTTCGACTGATTTAACTGTTGGAAAGAAGTCACATACTTAGTTTTTACATTTGATTGAAACATGCTGACTAAGCATAACTTTTCATTTTACATATTTAAAAAAAAAATTCAGTTGAAGTAAACTAAACTTCAACTCCAGACAAAATATTTAAAAAAATGACTGCACTGAAATGTTCCCGCAGAGACAACAATGATCGTGTTCTGTCGTTTTTTCCAACATGCAGTGGCAAGTTAGCTTTGAGACCTGGGAAACCTACCTGGAGCTGCTTCAAAACCTGCAGCCAAGGTGTGGCATTTGTGGAACCGTTGGCGGTTGGCACAGACCTAGACTGATTTTCAAAAATAGTGTTTTCAAATATAGTGTAAGAGTGTAACGTATGAGCCCACATTCACCTTAAAAATAGTTTTATTTCAGTCTTGTTTCTCTTTTCTCGTCTGTCTGTATCCATTTGTTAGCCTAGCTTTACCGGGAAAGGATCCTGGTCTGTGTCTGTTGTGTGTCTTTCCAGGCCACGTGTCTGGATAATTGTGTGTTTCACGAGGATGCGAGAATGCAGCTTTCACACCTTGAGCCATACTTCACGGGGACTTTAATTATGGTTTCTCCCACCGACCGAAACTTTGTGATCTCACGCCAGAGAGGAAACTGCAGCGTATTGCACTCACTGTGGAAGTGTTGCAAGATGCTGTTAGGAAAATGAAATTTTTGGAGGGGAAAACTTTGCTAAACTCTGCTTTGATAACGATGCATAATTCTTATATTTAAAAAAACATTCTAAGAGTCACTTTCCCTTTTCTGTTTCTATCAACTACTGACTTGTTGGTGGTTACTCAACGTCTCTATGCTGCCACCTGGTAACTAGTGCTCGCCATTTTTTTTTTCCTTCTCAGAATTCACACAGTGGAGCTGCATGATGTGGTTATATAAGTTTGCCTACAGCCTGCAACAGACAGGGCTTTGATGGTCTCTGACTGATGCTAAAGCTAGCAGTGGACTGGGTCGTTATTAGAGTTTTGAAGCAGTTCAAGCTAATTTTATAAATCATGTTTTTTTGGTTTTTTTTTACAGTACATTGGCTTTGCCTTTGACAGTTATTTGTTCTGTCATTTTGGTCATTGTGCAAATTGTGGCAGCCAAATGATCTGGAGCTTTGTTAGACGGCTTTATAGCTCACTGCTGAGCAACAATTGCAGATATAAAATACAATAGATGGTAGAACTTTGAAGTTCTTACAAAAATGATTTCCGGGCCTCATTTTTTTTTGTATGTTATTATTTTGACATTGACTTAAAACTTTAGAGAAGGTAAAAATGTAGCCTTATGTCATCCTTTGCTGAGTTGTTAGCTTGAAAAAAACATTTATTTCCTTTCTGATTCTCCAAATTTAGAGTCTACTA